AACTTTGAACAATATTGTACGTAATTATGCATAATATCGCTTCAAATTGTGCGTAAGCGTACGTTACGTATGTGCATAGTTGTACGAAAGCATTCGTCCTCTCTCTACGAGTGCATCCTCTCTGCGACTTGCACTCGTAGACTGGCGTCGTCGCTGTGTCCAGCTGCCAAAGTGTGCAATGTGCAGTGCGGAGGAGCCGTCAGGTTCTCCGGGGGTCCCGGGGCTGCCCCATCGTACCCCTCTCTGCTCGCAAGTGCGCCGGTCTGTGGATTAGCGCCAGCGCCCGGCCGGGGTTTCCTAGGAAGGAAAATAACCCGATGACCACGGCCCCTTTCGGGCGCACCGGGCGAACAAAGGGCGTACTCGAGTCGCTTTCAAAGCGAATATGACGACCAAAATGTGAACTGAAGTCGCTCCAGAGCGAACACCGCGACCCGATGGCGACCCGAGCTCAGTCCTCCACGAGGACAGTGACGATCCCTGACGACCCGTTAGCGTCCCTTCCGCGACCCTCCGCGTACCGATAGCGAATAAACAGCAAACGTTTAGCGAACAATCATTTTCGGTCGGGTGTGTGTGGAGGGAGCGCTCAGCCCTTGCCCGGCAGCTCACTGTTCGTTCGCCTCCAACACACACATAACAGCTAGCTGTCCTATCCGGGCTGCAAAGTGCTATGCACTCCTCGGGGGTTGACGCGCGGCGTGGCGCATCAGCCGTCCGGTGACGGGTGCGTGCGTGCATACATAGCAGGGGGGGGGGGGGTGAGAGTGCAGCAGCGACAGGTGACAACAGTGCGGGAGAGGGATTAAAACGCGCTCCCATATCTCCCTGCTGCTGTTAAGTCATCGCTCTCCCTCACTCCTCCCCCTCCCCCTCCCCATTTGCCTTCTCTCTCTCTCCCGCTCGCTCTCTCGGAACAACACTCGCGTGTATTGGCGAACAGGACTCGTTCCATGAGATGCCATCGGGCCTATCGTGTGCCATAGGTTCCTCCCCACCTCGCCCCTCCCGCTCCCCTGCACGCAGTGCGCGCGCGCGCGAGTGTTATTTTTCAGTCCGTTGGAGTTTATGGTTGGCCGTAAACCTGGCGGCAGGCTGGGTAGACTGTAGAGGATTGCTGCCCCTGGCATTGCGCGCCCTCTGTCTCTCTCACT